CAAAGCCCTTTTTGACATTTCTCGTGACAACTGGAGACTTGTTTTTAGAATTTCTCATTACAACTTCAATCACCTCGTGCAATGGACGATTTTTAAACTTGTTACTAGTTAATTAAATTACTTATAAGTCACTATTTTTATCTCAAAGCCATTTCTCGTGACAACTTGAGACTTGTTTTTAGCATTTCTCATTGCAACTTCAATCACCTCGTGCAATGGATGATTTTTAAACTTATTACTCGTTAATAAAATTACTTATAAGTCACTATTTTTATCTCAAATCCCTTTTTCACATTTCTCGTGACAACTTGAGACTTGTTTTTTAGCATTTCTCATTACAACATCAATCGCCTCGTGCGATGGACGATTTTTAAACTTATTACTCATTAATCAGGCATGAAACTACTTCATTAATATATTGTATGCGTGTAAGATTTACAATAATATTCTACATAACACATAAGTAATCGTTAAAATACGGGAGACGTGTTTTCTCAAAAGTAACAAAACTTACTTTTATCATAATGGACTGCAGGTAGTAAAAGATATTATTTCATTGTTATTGTTTATTTAACCAAAATATTGGTAAATAAAGATGGGGTCTTCAATATCACTTACAAGAATGAAATTGAATATTGGCTTAGGTCTCGTTTGAGCCCCCCATTTTCTTCCAAAAATGCATTTTGTAATAGCACGGGCTTAATAAAATTACCGTAGTTCGATAGAGATAGTGATTATCATTCTACTTTTTGTTATTATTCTTTTTTTTTTTTAATTTTATTTTCTTACACGAGTTTATTCCGATTCCTTAATAATTGGGAAGAATAACTAGAGAACCATGGGACTTCCCATCAGGTGAACAAAAGAAGAGAGAGTATTTTGTAAAAATTAGTACATAAATAAATATATAATGGTATCTCTCTATCGCAAGTCGTCTTTCAATTAAAGACTTTAAAGGCACGATGACAGCCAACAACTTTTATGACACAAATGTTTAGAGATTGCGACTTAGGAATTTGTTCAAACTTTACATTTATCATAGTTTAATTTAAAGAAAGAGTAAGAGTGCACGCTAACTAGAGAGAAAAAAAATAATAAAAAATAGCCATTTTGATGCATATTCGGTTACTTATACTTCTACAAGTAATGACTTGAATCATGCTACACTTACAGGCAAGCCCCTGCCAGTTAACACACATAGGGTGAGAGCCACACACATATATATTTTTAATACATTGGGGTGGGGGCTCTGTGTACAGTGAGGGCCCTGTAAGGCCCCTATGAAATTAAGCCATGTACGCACGGTTTAATTCTAATGACTTTGTAATCAACGACTCTTTTCAACCTTTATACACGAAAGTCAATTTCTGTAGGCACAAACCACAAGAATATCTTGAAACACATGGAATGCATTCTAATATAGGCGCATATTTAGCCCCCGTTTGGCACCCATTAATTTTTCATTTTCATTTTCATTCTCATTCTCATTTTTCATTTCAACCACACATTCTTCAAATAAAATAATATTACACACAAATCAAAAACTTTTCATCACTTTTCCACCATACATTCTCACATGAATCACTATTCCAAAATTTCTTTTCTCCTCAAAATTAGATTCAAACACTCTC